AAGACATTTTACTTAGTCCCCTGGAATGGTTTTTTCAAAAATATAATAGAATTTCAGACACGACCTTTCTTCAGATTTATTATATGTATAGATTATAGTATTTAATAAGTGACGTAATTACATTAAAATTCTACAGGCATAAAAGTTAAATGTATCCAAAATATCATTATTTAAGCGAATTTTGCAAAAAAATTATTGTGTAAAATACAATAAGTCATTATACAAAACTGAAATTAGCTCTTGAAATCATTGAATTTAGAAGGTACATATATCACGTTTGAATGTATTAAATGCGGTCCTCCTTCGATCTTAATTAAATTTTGATTTCTTAAATTTACGCGAACACTACACATTGAATAAAACTAAATTTACGGATTTTATCGCGTTTATTTCACTACTTTTACTTATTTTTTTAATTCCCGACGTTTCGGGTGCTTTACAGCATCCATGGTCACGGGGGGACTGAGATGTTTGACGTCCCAATGTCATTGTTAGCCCGGCTACCTTCAGTTTTTGAATATTAATTTTTTTTTGTATATTAATTTTTGGTTCAAGATAATGTAAGTTCGTTTTGCGTAAATCGGACCAAAAATTAATATTCAAAAACTGAAGGTAGCCGGGCTAACAATGACATTGGGACGTCAAACATCTCAGTCCCCCCCGTGACCATGGTTGCTGTAAAGCACCCGAAACGTCGGGAATTAAAAATAAGTAAAAGTAGTGAAATAAACGCGATAAAATCCGTAAATTTAGTTTTATTCAATTAATTAAATTTTATTCATTTTTGAATACCAGCGTAAAATATTAGCTTAATACTGCTGTGTTTCGTATGGTGAGTGTAGAGAACCGGAGACCCTCTTTACTGGAAATGAGGCATTCCATCTTGGTCCTCACGGGTGACAACGCATCTGCATTTCGATTCGTAATCGAGGATAGATGTAGATGTCTATGGGCCACAGCAACCACTTACCATCAGGTGTACCCCATCGTTTGTCAACCTATCCTATAAAATAAAATACTGTTTTTACTAATACCAAATACTATTTATGAGTAAATCTTAAAAGGAGGTTAGTTAGTGCAAAATTTTGTTTTAAAAATGATTTATTAATGAGTTTGAAATAGATCAAATTAAAACTCAAACTTTGAAGTCATTTGCTCGAATTGACACTAACTGCACTTATTACTTTTTACCCGTAAGCATACGATATGTAAATAAATCCTTTGCTTGCTGCTTTCAAAGCAATGTTTATATTGTACCAGCAAACATAAGTTTGTTACTTTTATCCGATAATCGTTACAGCATTTTAAACTCCACAGCTGAACATACCCGGGGAGGGAGAAGGCGGTAGATAATGTTCAATTCGTAGGGAAGATATTTGAAGTGCTTTAAAGTAACCTTATTTTGGGTAACTTTAAATTGCCGTTTAACTTTGAACAAAGTTGTTAAAAAGATTTATTTTATTTAATGGAATTTTTTGTTATTTCATAAACTCACGCCTGTCACCCAGAGGGGTAGGCAGAGACTACAGACTTCCATTTGGCACGATCCTGACACACCTCTCTCGCCTCCTTCACATCCATACACCTACGCATGCATGCTCGTCGGTTAAGGGTACTCCTAATTTGGCCCGTTTTCAATAAATCGCCAATTTGGTCGATAAATTTTCGCCTAGGACGTCCCTTTCCGACTCTGCCATTCACTTCTGCAATATAAATTTTCTTTGTCACTCTTTCCTCATCCATTCTTTCCACATGACCAAACCACCGAAGCATTCCTTTCTTAATCCTGGTCACAACATCATCTTGCAAACCACACTCTTCTCTTATCACACAATTTTTCACCCTGTCATTCAGATTCAGCCCTAACATACTCCTTAACGACCTCATTTCTACTGCATTTATTCTACTCTCGTGCTTCTTCTGCCATACCCAACTTTCACTACCATACGTTTGTTATTTCAATATCGTAACTGACTAAAACGGATCGCCAAAATGTTTTGTAGCAAACGAAAGGTAAAAAATAAACTGTTAAATACATAATTTTGAAAATTTCCCGCCTTTTCCTCAGTGAAGTTATTGGAAGTGTTTGTTGCTCCGATTTAAAATCGTAATTAAATATACTAAACTTATTGTAAATAGGTATGTATTATTATGATTGTATAAAATGTATGATACTCGATTTTGATGTTAAATATTGTGTAAAAGTGCCGAAGTTTTGACAAAGATCAAAATTGAAGTAATTTGGGTAACATTGCACGGTTAAAAGTTACCCGTATCATAAAAAATATTGTTTTGGATAACTTTGAATAGGTAGATACATTATGTTGCTCAATTTTGATTAAGATTTTCGCTTTTTACAGCAAAGATATGCCCCGAAAAACTTAAAAAGTGAACTCCGACGTTAGGAGATATGGATTGAAGAGTAATTATACCACTGAAACGCTCGAAGAAACCCTCCGTAAAATTCGTTCAGGTGTTGTGTCTAGACTCGCTGCTTTAAAGTTTTATGGAATAACTGTGGTGACCCTTTTTTACAAATTGAAAAGCAAACATATTCATCTAGTTGGTAAACCTATTACTTTTAGTAAAGACAAAGAAACTAACTTTAAGGCCCATTTGTGGCTGCTATGTGATCTGGGCGTACCTATAACTTCAGATTTTTCGTAAAAAAACTACTCAGACAGCACCTTCCTGGGTACGAATGAGATGTGTTGTTCTTAGAAAGAAACCCAGAATTAAAAGCAAAAATAACTTAAGCAAAAAAAGAGGGCTCAAGTCACTCGAGAAATGGTCGAGGAATTCTTTGAACATATTATAACGGAAATTAGAAGGGTCCCACCAGAAAACCAGAAAATATATATAACATGGATGAGTTGCGATTTCATGACGATCCTGGAAACAAAAAGTTGCTTTTTCGTAGGGGCTCTCGACATCCCGAAGTTACAAAAATACCAGCAAAACGAGTTACATTGTAGTCTTTTGTGCAAATGCTGGTGGCGAAGTTTTGCCTCCTTTTTTATATTTAAAGGAAACTGTGGTCAGATTGGCTTTTTCAAGCTCCCACAGATTCAAGAATGGCTGTGTCCGTCCCTGGATGGATAGATTCTTTAATTTTGAAGAGTGGTTGGAAAGACATATATTCCAAACAGTTGTTTAGCAAGATGGCAAAAAGGTATTGTTTTGCGATAATCTCAGAGCCTACATATCACCAAAAGCATTACGTCTTTACAATCTTTTTTTTGCAACCACTAAATGTGGGATCTTTTTCTGGCTTAAAAACTGCATGGAGGAAAGTAGGAGACGTTGAAGTCCTGAAAATAAAAGAAGGTACATATTGTATTTTTAGAGATGAGGGCAGTTTGTTCCCAGGAAGGATACAAAAAGATCCTAAAACTCATGATAACTTTGAATTTGATTTTTAGAGGAATTTCTAGGTAATTCTGTTGTTTTTCCCGTAAATTTATTGTTTTGGGATAATAAACCAACTCAAAAGAACACCTATTTATTCAATAAAATAAACAAATATAAATCAGATTGTAATATCACAAATACTGTAACAAATTTTCAAAGTTACCCAAATCGACTGTAATTAAATAATAAAATTTACTTTTACGGTTTTAAAACAAGGGTGAAAATTTTTATGAAAAATATCGTATGTATTGGGTCTACAGCTGAAACCGGTGGACGTAGATTTGTGAAATTGGGATAATAACTCCCTTTTACTAAGTAGGCATCTAAGCACTAAGAAAGAGTTTTTGGAAAATTTAAATCCTTAGATAGTAGTAAAATAGGTTTTTATAAAACTTTTTTACGGGGTGATTTCATATTCGTATACGGAAAAATCATTAAATGATCTTTGTAACTTTAAAATTTGTACGAATACTTTAGGAAATTAGTTTTTTTTCTCATTTTCCTAATATCTCACCTAAAAGTGTTAAAACCGGGATACATTGTTTGCGCAGAAAAAATGGTTTTTAATTGCATGGTGGTGGCGAAATCCGTAAAACGAAATTGTGAATAATACCTATTATAGAACTATAAAAATCTGTCCATATTGATCATTATATACAAAATATTAAAAATTGTCTATTTACTATTGTGTCGGAGTTAGTAATCTGACAAAAATATAGTGAGATCAGATACAGATAAAACGGCTTTACGTGCTTTCTGAGGCATAGGGATGAAACACTGCTAAACTCTTGACTCCGAGCTGCTACTGAAAATTTCTTTGATTTTGGGCCCGATGACATCCATTACCTAAAGGTCAAAAAAAATTTCCTAAGTTGAGTTTAGTTTTAATTTTTCATTTGTTTGCAGCATGAGACAAAACATAGATACTTACGCAATTTCATTTATTTTGTTAGTGTTGGTACCTATTGGTTGGTAGGCATTGGATTGTAGTTTTCACTTCATTTATTTAATATCAATAATTGGTGATGGCTGATGGTGCTTGCTTATTTAAGGCAAACTCTTATTTGTTGTATGGAAACCAAGTATTCGGCTAGAGAAATTCGGGAGCAAATTAGTGATTACGTTAATACGGTCATATTGTTTTTAATTTAAAAAATAAAACACAAGCATACATTTAAATAACAAGTGTATATGATTTGCCTGATTCGTTTCTTGGTTCGCTTGTGGGTCCGTTTATTTGTTCGTTCTTTTGTATGTCTGATTGACCGACTATCTGAATGTTTTTATTCAGATTAGTGTCTTTCTAAGTCTTCGGGACAGTTTAATTTATAAATAAATCATCACGTAGAATAGCAAAAGTACTGATTCCACGCGAACGAAGTCGCGGTCACAGCTAGTTGTTAATAATTTTAAGCGCTCATTTACTCTGTGCTCGACAGTGAAGCAAAACCTGCGCGTCTAAAAAATGAAAACAGTTCAGGGACATACCAAATATGGCAACACGAATATTAATGTAGCAGACTTTTCTTTGCCCTAAAAGACTCTCAGGCGTTAAAAAACTTTTTTAACAAAGTATCTGATAATATGATTCAAAATAAAACATAAAAGTACTTTGGTTTCTTTTTATTTGAGTTTAAATTAGCTTCTATTAATTGTACCCAATTTTCGTACTGTTTATTGTCTTCTTCAGTCAATTCATCGCAGAACCTATCTATATCTTCATCTTTCACGTCCTCTTCTGTTAAAATATCAGTACTCTGCTCTTTTCTTTTATTAAGCGGTTTTACGTTATCTGTAACTGTAATTGAAGGTGTTACTGGAACTTCTTGCGGTTCGTCTTCTACAAATATTATCTTTTTAGGTTTTCTGCTACTACTACTTGTTTTAACATCATCAACAGACTGTTCACAAGCGTTACTGACATCCACATTTTTATTGTTTTCAAGATCGGTTTTGTTTAAATTTTTAATTTTTTTCTCCTTTTTTTTCTTATGTACAACTTCATCGCTCTTAGTAATATTTTGAGCTTTCCTTTTATTACCCATTTCCTGAAAGTAAAGATACTGAATTATTATATTAAAACAAACATAAGAAAGAAAAAAGATTGACACAAACCACAGAGTTACAAGACACAACCCTGTAATATCTTATAGCTAAATTTATATAAAGAAAATTGTACGTCGTTAGTCATGCTTAACAGTTTATTGCTCAATATGATGTTGCGATGAAACCACTACGCTGATAGGCAGTGATAAATGAAAATTGGATAATACAGTCGCGAGGGCAATTGAATAATGCGAACTGTTAGCTACTAAAAGTTATCAAAGTATATTTCACTCGGAACTGTATAGTGCGACATGAGGATTTTTAGACAGCTTCTCTAAAAAAAAAATATCTCATGGCGCTCTTATCAACCGAGCTCATCTCAGCAACCAAGCGGTTCCGCTAGAAAATATTTGTGTGTACAAATATTAATTTAGTTTTATAATCTCTTTCTTTTTCGTTCGTTCTCTTAAAATTTTCTTATAACAGAGCTTATTAGAAATTTATACACAACTAGCTTGCCAGGCAGACGTTGTTCTGCCCTTTTCGACGACCCTTTGTCATGTCCTATTATAAATCCTTAAATTAGCAAAAAAATTGTGGGTCAAGTTGGACCAAACTGCACACGGTATGCAAATTTGATAAAAATCGGTTAAGTAGTTTAGTAGTCCATCGCGGACAAACAACGTGGCACGTTTTTTGTCCGTGATGGACTACTAAACACAATTTATATATATTAAGATTACAGGTTATCTTATACTTATAAATTTCTAAAACTATAGCCCATCAAGAGCCCACAACTGAACATAAGCCATCCTTATAGATTGCCTCAAAGGGGGGATATTTGCCATAGTTGCCACGCTTGGCAACCGCCGTTTTAAATTTTTATTCAGCAGTTATCAGAGAGAGTTGCTGGCAATGTCTTGGTTTAGCTTTCCTCTGTCGCGTCTCACGAGACCCAAGGAATGGTATAAGAGAGAAAATTAAAATTTTATAAGATATTTAAAACGATATTTAATTCATGATTATTATGTAACAAACAGTTTGCAGACGCTACTGTTTTCTTATTTTGGATTTCTTAATGTAAACATAATAAAGTAGCGAGTTTTAGCGTTTATTTATTTATATTTATACAAAAACAACTCAACTTAACTTAGTTTTTTCGTTATTAGCATATCACGGATTATATGATAAACATTCTAATTGACATAACGTATACAAATAGCTTAAAATACTCGACCAGATCACGGTTTTAGAGACGAATAAATTAATTGTTTAATTTTCTTTAGTTGTAATTTGTTACACGTGTGAAAAAAACTATGTTGGTTACAGAATACAGTTACAGTTCAGAAATTAAATTCGATCGAAACTTTGCGACACATTTCGTGATTTCATTGAACATCTCATTCATTGAACAGCCCAGGATTTGCCTTACCATTTTTTTTTTCATAATTTATATTATGTTACCATCAAGATTTTTATTAGTGATCGATGTATGTTACTTTATAATAAGTTTACAGAAACATGCTTATATCGGTCTGCCTATAGGCATATTTATGTATATGTCACAGCAATTCCACATACCTACTTGTTAGAGTTGAAATTTCGCATATTTAGTTTGTATGTTTTATCTATAGCGTTTATTTTTAATAGTATCCATGGTCACAGGGTGTCTGATCTGACGTCAAGCCCCGGCTTGGTTTGATGTCTGCACACTGCAGTCTGTGAACCTGTTTAGGATTGTTTCAAACGTAACAACAGATTTGATAGACCACAAATCTTCGCCAAAATATCAGATTCCTAACAGGGATGATTTGCAAGATTATTGCAAATAAAAAATCAGAACTTTAATGGAGGAGATTGCTAGGTGTTACCATCTGCTCGGGATCTGTTGGGTATAAGCTCTGAGACTAAAATAAACCGCCTATTTGGCCGTTCAGGTTAATTTCTAATAGAACAAAAACTATTAAGTGGATCATGATAATTTAAAGAACAGACTAACTTTGAAGTCATCACTTGATTACTGTTACACCAAATCCGAGACAAACTGGTCGAGAATTATAGTCAATAACTTATAAATAGCTGGGCGACCGAGGTAACAAATACCTACGAAAGCATTACCTAAGCATAAAATTTCATCAAAATCATTATGAGATGATTCCGAAAAACCAATTACATATAAAAAATAAATACATTTTCTTATCTTTATTATTTTAACTATAATATAGATTTTCTCTATAAATATGTACTGCAATCAAACATTTTTTCTACAAAAAGCTTGTAGTACCTACCAACGCATTGCGCCATAACAATATACGTAACCCTCCAAACAAGACATGCTATTAGTCTACAATAATTTATTTCTGTCTGGCTGCGAAAGTGTAGACTAGAATACTAACGAACAAAACCTAAAATATCTGACCACATTGCAGGATTTGAATTTGCGCACTTCGACGTGGTAGACCTACGCTCTAGCCGATTAGTTCATTAGACTACTAAGACGATGATATTTGAATAAATCTAAAATAATAATACAATCCCAAAGTTTTGTGAAAATTATTTCTGAGGACAATTACATCCCAGTCATACTTATTGCTTTGTGCGTTAAAACACTGAGACTACGAACTTTCCCATAAATGACGACTACCTTTTTTGCCCCCCTGTATTTTATATATATACTTCTCATCAAAAAATCTAAACACCTTCGTTTTACTTTGTTAAAAAATTGAAACACCTAATTTAATACAAAAGAGTTTTCATTCCATGAAAAAAAAACGTAATTGTATAGCTGGCAATCTGGCCATTACAATGGTAAGCGAAAATTCAAAATTTTTTGTTTTTTTTTTTTTTTTTTTTTTTTTTTTTTTTTTTTTTTATATTTGATTTTTTTTCTCGAATTTTTTTTTTTTTATTTTTTTATTAAAATTTCTTTTGTTTATCCTCTAAATTAAATGAATCACTATTTTGAGACAAATGCGCGTTTACAGTTAGAGTCCCTTTCACGTTTAAAAACTATAAATTTACGTTTATCTTTAACGTTTTTGTTTTTAATTTGTTTACTGTGACTTTAAAACGTCTGAAAAAAGTTTTATTTCCTAAACATATAAATACTTCGCCCACAGAAGCCGCCCAAGTGGTGGCATTGCTGGATTCTGGGCTTGGTCAGCGTGTTGCGGCTCGAACATTGCATCTAAACCCGTCATCTGTTCATAAAGTCTACAACCGCTATCGAGACTGGTATGTTCACGCGCCGTTCTGGATCTGGCAGGAATCGGGTCACTTCTGAGAGAGATGATCGATTTATTGTATCAACTTCTTTACGAAACCGGCGCCTTAATGCATTTCAACTGCAGCAGCAGCTTCAAGTTGTACGAAGGGTGGCTGTAAGTGACTGTAGAGTAACTTACAGCGACCCTACGTTAGAAGAAGGTTGAAGGAACGTAGACTGGTACCACACAAGCCAGCAAATGGACCGAAATTAACTGCAGACCATCGAAGAGCGCGCCTTGACTTTGCACGCGAGCACCTAAATTGCTCATACCTCCAATGGAGCAAAGTTCTCTTCTCTGATGAATGTAAAATCATGCTCTATGGTAACGACGGAAGGAACAAGGTCTATGAAAGAGATGGAGAACGCTTTGCACAATGCTGCATTGAAGAAAGGGTCAGTTATGGTGGTGGTTCGTGGACGGTTTGGGGAGGAATCAGCGCCGACGGTAAGACAGAGCTTGCCTTCGTATATGGGCCACGTCTACCTGCTTTGAACTGTCATCGGTACGTGGAACAGTGCCTAGAGCCTCACGTGATGCCCTATGCACACTGTATCGGCAACGGGTTCACATTTATGCACGATAACGCCAGAGCCCACACGGCGAGCGTCGTACGTGTTTACCTTACCGAAGTCGGTATCTCCATAATGGAAAGGCTAGCAAGGAGCCCGGACATGAATCCAATTGAACATCTCTGGGATCAACCAAAGAGGCAAATCCGAGCGAGAGATCCTACCCCAGACTCACTTGACCAGCTGAAAAGTACCATTCAGGAAGAATGGGATAACATCCCACAGCATGTCATCGTAACTCTAATCCATCGATGAAAAACCGGATGGAAGTGGTGATAGGAGCTCGAGGAGGGAACACTAGTTATTAAACGTTATTTAATAAAAGTTTTTCAGGTTTTTTTTTTCACCTACGTGTGTTGTTTCATTCATTGCCTTCGTTCTCCATACAAAATAAAAATGACTCATTAAAGAAAACATGCAACATATGAAAATTTAATTTGAATTTAGAACAATAAAATTAAAATTTGAAAACCTCATAAAATTATAGTGAGTTTTAAGCGACATTTGATATTTTTATTCGTAAATAATAAAAAAACTAATAATCCTTACAAAACATAAACTTGCAAGGTGTTTCGATTTTTTTGATGATATATATATATATATATATATATATATATATATATATATATATATATATATATATATATATATCATCATCAAAAAATATATATCACATAATATTTTTTTAATGAATAGCAGAGACTGTTGATTCTGCGTAAAGCGGTATACATAATATTGTCAACAACCTAACATGTACATTGTTTAAGGAGTACCTACAATGATTTGTTTCAGTGTTATTTAAAGAATTGAATTCAAGCTGCCACCTTATTTACTTTATAGTTTCGTCGCTAGGCACTGAAAATTTATTAAGTACATTATTGTATGACATTTTGTTCTTCATAATATATTACTTCAAGAAAGGATTTTCTATATTATGAAGAGGTTTTCTGTATTATAGTGAAGTGAAATTTCTTGATTCATTGATAATAAAAATAAATTAAAGTTATGATTAAACGCGATAAAATCCGTAACTAATAGTTTTATTCTTGATTCAAGTAAAATACAGTTTTTTTAGTATTATAAGTCAATACTTGTCTACAATCCCATCAGATAAGATGTGATGCAGCCAAAGATGGTCAAATACACTGGTTTATATAATGA